CTGTTGCTTCTGTCAAAAATTTTTTTACAATTAAGGCACTTTGAAGCTGTTTTGTTATGATAACTGCTGTTTAACGCCGCAGTACGCGTTCCGAATGTTATCACAAGAATGCTGAGTTGTGGGCAAAAGTCGTGCCCCAGGCGGGAGTCGAACCCGCACCTCACGCTTTCCGGGCGAGTGCGCTATCCGTTACGCCACCAGGGCCGCTTTTACCCTCTGCTTTTGCCCACAACTCAGCATTCTTGTGATAAGGCACTTTACTGTGAAGCACTCACAATCGAAAGGTCGTCTGTTCTCCATTTATGCAGTTTGCTCTTCCACATTAACTTTCACGTGACGGTACTGAAGTGCATCGCAACGAGCGAGGTGGTCGGAAAATCACGTTGATTGGACCCGTAATCTTCTTAACATGATTTGAATAATGTAGCTAAAAGACTCAGCAGCACTTTCGTAAAAATAAAATCATTTCAACAAGCACATGCGCTGTACATGCACTGTCACTTCACGTAGCGTTACCTAACCGTGCACTTGAACGAGAGCGATGCGTAAGAAGATATATATTTAACTTAGATGAGCTGAAATAGTAAAATTCCAACCATCTGAACTAAACATCAGAGAAGATTGCACAGGTTATCTGCACACTTTAGTGTATGATTCTAAATTAGGCTTGAAGACTCAGGCGCCCTGAGAGAGCAGTGTCATTATCCCTACAGATACCTGATATTACTGGCTGTTGTGATTTTTGGCACAAAGGTGGTCATAGGAACATGCCGAAACTCATAGGCAGGCTTATGCAAGAAGGGGACAGTCAAGGGATACGCAGAAACTGCGTCTCGGGATAATCACAAACCGCGAAACCTTTCTTCTTCTTCTTCCTATTTTCTTCCTCCTTTTTTTTCCTTCGCGCCTGTGGATGCGATGAGAAAACACCTCTGGATCCTTGCAGCGAGAGCATATCCGGTTGACAAGAGCCCGTTATCGCAGAATCGGTAACTTCAAGCAAGTCAGGGTACCTTCATATTTTGTGTCAGCGTTTCGAAGCTTTGAGCGATTAGGAATGTATGGATATCGACGTACGTTTTCAGTGGGTCGTTTTGA